TCCGATTCAAGGCATTCAACAATTAAATCAAGCTTGAGTACTTGAGGGAACTAATTTTCTTATGGAAACATTTTGCTTTTAGTGGGGTCAATTTTTTTTTTGGAGAAAATATTTAGTTTATTATTTTTAATTTTTTTTCAAATTCTATTTTCTTTTCTAGTTTTAAGTTTCTATTTTTAAAAAATTCTTTAAATTTTGTCGTTTCTTAGAAAGTTATTCAAAAGTATTTTTTTAAGTATCTTAGTAATATTTTCACACCTAAGGTGGCTTTGAAGTTTAGGTGTTTATGTCAGGCATGTTTCATTATACACAAACATTCTACTGATCAGCTTTGATGTCTCCTTGGGAGGATAGTGTTTTTGTAGCTCATGCCGAAAGTTCTAACATTTATCTTCATCGCAAGCATAACTTCTTCGGATCAAACATTAACTATCTTGTTTTTGCTGCGGAATATGCCTAACTTTTTGCTTTTCTCCTTCAGCTATTTTTTCCTTTAATATTTTATAGACAAAATTGATTGATTTCTACTATGGGATTCTGACGTTCCTTATTTTTATGGTTTCATTCTTGTATTGAAATAAACAGAGTTAAAGATTTCCATTTAAATGTTTGCCAAGGAGGAGGTTGGGGAGAGGTGCACATATTGTATATAATGGGAGTGCTTCTAGAATCATTGAAATTGAACTTGAAATTTATCCTGTTTATGAGTGTGACTCTGGCGAAGACTTACCATATGCTCCTGTAGATTTTCCAAATGCTAGTGATTAGTGGGGTTGGCGGGTGGGGAAAAGAGTTTCAAGTTCAGGTACCTTTAGAGATAGATATTTGTATCTTCCGAATCAGTTTTAGGCTCCAAAAAGTGGACAAAAAATGGCTTTTCGAAGTAATATTTCAGTTGAAAAGTATCTTCAGTCTGAGTATCCTGACATAGATATGAACAAATTTTTTGCGTCAATTAGTTGGATGATTCCTTCGATGAAGTTGCCAAGCTCAAAAGGTTAGCTTTTTGTTATATAACATGTAGATATTTATTTGGTCTTTTGCTTCAATTGAAAAAAACACTTAACACATCTTTTTATTGAATTGATGCCAAATTTTTTTTCTTTTTAATCAAAAATTGATTTTGACTCAGATATGATAGAGAGGACTACATCTTTGGGGACAGAATTGCAGGCTTTACTGTCTGATTTTTCTATAAGAGCCATTAGTTGTATGGCTGGTAACGAAATTTGTAGCAATATATCAAAATAAAATCCTTTTCCAGCCATGGTTTGGGATATTTGTTGCAGTGAAGTTGGTTTTTCCCGAGGTTATTATTGTATCCTTTGCTTTAGAACTATATTGGGTACATTTTTATTGATGTGAAGCAATAATAGATTGATACATATGTGGATATGTTTCCTATCTAGATTGTGTTATACGAGATTACATGGCTGGGAAAGCTGGAGAAAGCATCAATTTAGATGCACAATATTTATGTCTATACTGTGATTCAAGGATGGATTTGGTTTCACATGCTCAGATGCTTATAAACACCTGCACATTTATTTCTACTTTTGATTACATTGAAAATATTTTTAATGTTGGCATTTTTATTTTGCTTGGCTCACAGAAAAGAAGTGGAAAATAGTTGTTGCATCACACTAAATAAATCAAGGCAATGGTATAACTAATTGATCAGTAGTACTTTTTTCCCTTATGATTCTATATGTTTTCCTTTTGAGTTTTACATTTACAAGAATGATTAATTTGATAATAATAATATCAGCTTACAAAAGGAGTTTGCATTCAAAAAGGAAGGTTGTGTGGATAGTACTAGTAACATCTCTCCCCTCTCATCATCTTCTTAGTGTTGATCAGATCTTTGACTTTAATATTTGTTTCTGAGCAAGACATTTAAGTAAGTTTCATTCTAAACTAATCGTGGGTCTTTCTGGTGGTACGTTTCTTTGAAAATAACAATCTAATTTTGGAACGAATATTGTACTACTATAGCGTCGAATGGATGGAATGGATGTATTTTTAGTTGGTTTTTGGTTGTTATAGTTAAATTAGGAGGGATATTTGGCAATGTTGAAATTGAAATTTGGAATTTTGAACTTTGGCAGTACGTTCTTTAACAATTTGAGAGGGAAAATCTTAGGCTATTATTGGCTAATGACGGATAATTTTTGAGGTTATTGATTAGGTTAGCATGACTTACTATATAATACATGTTATTGGCTAGAGAATAATTAGAAATTGTTTAAATTTTGTTTCTTAAAAGCTTAAGGACAAGTATGATTCTCTGTTCTAAAGATTGATTATTATGGGAACAAAATTGTGGGTAGATAATAATTTCATAACGATGATGACTTGAGGGTTATGAGAAATTATTAATTACGACGTAGAGTAGAGAGTCGATCTTGCTTCAGCAATTTTACTTACGGGTGGATTGAATTCAATGAGTTCTTAGTTAGTTTCAGTGTAATAGATTTTGTTATGGTGCTAGGCTTTTATAGAATGTGTTATATATTATTATCGATAATTAAATTTTAGGTTTATTAATGTATTATATAAAAATAATTAGATTAAGTTATTGTGCTATTTGAGAAATACTAACCTTGATACATTAGTTTGTATAAAATTTTAGGAATTTCGTTATAGTAATATGAGTGTCTACGGATTGGTTTGCTGATATATTATGCATACTTGATAAATTGGAAACATTCTAAATCATTGAGAAAAGAAAACGCATCAGTGAAGTAGCTTGAATGACTTCAAATCTTTGGTGGAGGTAGGTAATGGGTTATTTTATTTGATAGATAGACTCTTAATAGTGCTTGATAAAAATTGAGTTATATGGTGAAGTTCCCGATTTACTTGATTGTATGTTCTATGATTGGTCTGAAATCCACAGATTCTGAAATTATTAATCTTGAGCCCTCTATATCAAACTGATGTTTTGAATAAAGAAGCCTTGATGAAAAACTTTTAATGCACTGAAAATTAGGGATAATGAATGATAATTTAACAATATTGATTAATCTGAGTGTCACGTTTTGATACGATTTTATTGATCAGAGTAGGGTCTTGAGAAGATTGAGTTTCTTTGAATGGTAGAGTTTCCAAGGCTTTCAAGAAGTGAAATTTGGTGAATCCTCATAGCATCCGAGGACACCACCACTATGTTGTATTTTATGTTCTTTTCTATGTTTAGACTTGTATGGGTTGTGACCTAAGGCTAATGTAGTTTTGATGTCATAGATTATTTTTGAGACATATGTTAGTAGTTTTATGAAATGATTCCGCATTATGTTTTGAAAGAAAAGTTTTAATTTCGCACTACTTTCCATATTTATTTAATAAATAAGTGTCTAAGGTCTTGTATAAGACCTTGTAGAGGTCAAGTACCCCGTGTTCCTACTTGAAGGATGTCGTAACTTCTAGGATGTACATTGGATCGTGACACTCCAAGTTCTAGGTTATTGATGCACATTTATGATGGAATGTTGATATCATATGTGTACATAGTGAATTGGTGATATATCTAAGAAAAAAATTGAAGTAATAATATAAGTATTGAAGGCTAGTAGTTCTGTTCTAACTTTGCTTATTTGAAGACTTCTGATTTAGTTTTTAAATTTTCATTTCAGATAGAAGCAAGAGGCATGTAACACTATTTTAGATGTTTTACTGTTAGTATTAGTTGCAGAACTCTTCATCTCTCACTTGATTATCTGTTTCATGGATATCAATATAATGGACTATAGTTGCTCCCTATTGAAATTCTAGAGGTTCATATATGACAAGTTAAATATGATGGTTGGTGAAATTTTTGTTGGTTTATGTCATAGTCCTCAAACTATATTTTTATCACATCCATAGTACTTTGCTTTACACTTGTGTTGTATCTTTAGTTTTGGAGGTATTTTCTTTATCAGGTTATAGACTCTTCGGTAATTTATAAATGAAATATAGAACATTCTAGCTTCTTCTACAAATTTGATTTTTTAACATCAGATAATAGGATCATATGTAAAGCCTCATGTTTATTTTCATTGCATGGAATGTTCTAAAATGAATGTGACCTGATAACTGCTCAATGAGTGACCAGAAATTACTTGAAAACATACAAAAATCTAATACTTGTTTGATGAGTATTACTGTACCTACGAGATGGAAGTCAGAAGAATTCAATAGTCACTACTTTAAATTGTGTTATGCTAAACTGTGCATATAGAAACCAGCTTTTTCGGATTCCTTCTCTTTGGTGATCATACGTTGGATGATGTACTCCCCAACTTTGATGGTGAACTTGAAATTCCTTACGGCTCATTACTTATTGATGTGGTGCCAGTGAGCTATGTGATCCACTTGATGCTTGTTTTCCCATTGTCTTCTTTTCCGTTCTCCTCAATATTAATGGCCACTTTTTTCTCTGTGCAATTCCTATTTCCTATGATAATCGCAGATTCCTTTCAATCATAGCAACTCTCGTCTGTCTCATATTTTTTGGAGAAAATTGTGTACCTAAGATCTGGGATGCCTTCCATTTTACTGGCGCCACGACTACTGTCTTTGTTGGTTTCGTTTATTCAGCTACTATTGTCCTTAGGTGAGTACTATCTTCCCTTTTAAACTACTTATCTGTAATCATTCTTATATACTTAGACATAATTCTCCATGTTTGTCATTGATTACAGAGATACACATGGAATTGCAACCAACAGGGACAGGCTATTTTCATCGGTCATGATATTGTTAGTTGTTTCCCCAAGTAGTGTGGCAATCTGCAGTGACATTTACAACCTTTTCAACAATGCAGTTGATGTTGGATTTTAAAAAGGTGTGAATGGAAAATGAAGATTTGCGACTTTTATGAAGAGTTGTGACTTTTATGAAATGTTGTGACTTTTATGAAAAGTTGTGACTTTTATGAAAAGTTGCGAATTTTATGAAGAGTTGTGACTTTTATTAAGAGTTGTGACTTTTATGGAAAGTTGTGACTTTTATGAAAGGTGACGACATTTCTGAAAGATTGTGACCTTTCCGGTAAGGCACAATAAGAACCTTTTCACACTATCCTTTGTTGTCTATAAATTGAGGGATTTCCTCTTATTTTAAATAGAATTCATGTATTTCTTCTTCAACTACTAAATCTAGTATTCTAAGTGTACTTTACTGCCGTTTGGTGGTTCGCTGACACCGGAGTTTTTGATATATATACTCTGCTGATTGAGATTATTTTACCCAGGAGGTCATATTCCAAATCAAACCTCGGATACTAGAGGGGAATAATTTCCTTAAGGGGACACGACGAATTCAGTGGACTAGATCTTTTTCCTATTAAAAAAAAATTCAGATTCTGGTACGTGTTTTACAAACTTTAGATTTGTGAATTAATTTCAGTTCTTCTATTCTTTTGTTCTTTACTAATTCATTAAACTTGGTAACTTCGTGTTTCTGCAAAGTTTGTTGGAATTAGTAAAATTCTTTAGACACATATTAACAACAATTCTTCTTTAAGAAAAATATATCGTATATTTTTTTAAAATCTGTTTCTGATTCTAGTTTTGCTACTAGTTTTAATTTTCTAGTTGTGAAAATGTTCTTAAACTTTTTTTTCTGACAAAGATGTTTAAAGTTTTGTTCTAAGTATGTTTGGAATACAAGATGAACAACAATCTTAAGGAAATTATTGTGCTGTTAGTATTTTTTTGTATTCTACTGATTGAGAGAATCTGATCATGGAAGTAGAAGATAAATACATTACTTCTTCATAATTCGTTGCTTTGTTTTAGCAAAGTCGAAGTGAGAATGTAACAATTTTTTTTATTGTATTCCGGTTAATGATTACCAGGTAAGCTTCTTATTAAATTATCTAAGGAGGAAAATAGTTTCTAAGAGTACTCATCTTAGATTTTTTATTTTTTCTAATTATGTGTATCTTTGGAAAAAGATTTGCAAACCATATGTTGTTAAATGAATTTTACTTCATAGATATTGTTGCTTTTAAAATTCTTTAGTTTGCAAAAATGAGAGATGCATATTTTTGTTTTGATAAAATAGTATTTCAAACTGTTATAGTTGGAAGACTATTGATAAGAAAAACATTTCTATGTGGTAAAGAATATGTGTTATTCTGTTTGGGGAAAAAAAAGACTTTTGTAGTTTTGTACTCAATGAGAAATGTTAGTGTGTCTGATTTTTTTAGACTAAAAACTTTTGTGATTTTATACTCTGGATAAATTGGACTCTGCAATTGGTTTGAAGAATATGAAAACTTCACATAATAAGTCTATGTTGTACTTTTGATTTTCTATAAACTTCAATGTAACATAGAAATAAATTATACAATTTTGTTTTGTCCTTATTGTTAATATTTAAAATTCTAAGTGGCATGTCTATTTATGATAGAGAAAAAATATCAGTGACTTAGAATTTGTGATTTTGTGTCTCTATGGAATGAACTTTGACATTGTGTAAACTTTGTCAAAGAGAATTGCAGCACTGTAATTCTTTCGTAGAATAATGTTTCCAACATTAAAATATGTGGAAAAACTATTTTCAAATACTTGAAAAATATTTTTGAGATCACATCTGAAATGTGGGGGTTATTTGCTTATGATTAGACTTGGTGCCTAATTTAACTTTGAAACAAATGATATGAAATTTAATGATACTTTTGCATTATGTTATACCCACAAAATTCTTGGAGTATATTTGGTATTGTGGTTGTTGAGTTTCTTTATTACTAGTATATAGTGTGTGTTGCCAATCTGTGTTATAAAATCAGAAATTACTGGTTCTAATAAATTATTCAGAAACATGAAGTAACTGAGAATTTTTATAACCAGTAAATAAGATGAACAGAAATTTATTTGTAAAAAAATAATTTAATCTGTAAAAACGTACCAGAATCTGAAATCCTCTTATTGAAAATTTAGGAAGAAAATCAAGTCCACTGAATTCACAGTGTCCCCTTAAGGAAATTATTCCCCTCTAGTATCCGAGGTTTGATTTGGAAAATAACCTCCCAGGGTAAAATGATTTTAATCAGTAGAGTATAGATACCAAAAACTCTACTGTCAGCGAATCAATCCACAGCAGGAAAGTACACGAAGAAATATGTGATTTTAAGAAGAAGGAAGATCAGAAAAATTTGTAGTTAATATTCTGAAGACTGAATGGTATTTATAGGCAAGAAGAATATATTATGAAAGGTTGCAGCCCTTTCAGAATTAACACGACCATTAATGAAAGGTTGCAAACTTTCAAATGGTATTGACTGTACCTGAAAGTTGCAACCTTTCAGAACAGTCATGGTGGGAAATTTTGAATATAACGGAATTTAAAACGGGTCACTCGCGCGGATCTGAGTCGGGTCAGGTTTTAACTAAAAAATTGAAAACATTTCGGTTATCAACTAATTTATTGAAAATAATTTTTGGCCATTTAAATTAATTAATAAATAATTAAAATAAATTTTGTCCAAAAACTTATCTCTTGATCGATCATTTGCCGAAGCCGAAGCCGAAGCGAGCAAGCGACGACGACGACGGCGCGAGGGGG